CCCCACAGAAAGACATTCTTAGCCGCAGCGCACGCACAGGCGCGCACACACACACACACACACACACGCCTACACACACACACGCACGCACACGCACACGGCACCACGCACGCGCAGCCGCGCACAAACACACACACACACACATTTATACACATACACACCAACACACAACACACACACACACACATACACGCTTTACGACGCACACACACACACACACGCACAACACACAGCACACACACACAAATACACACACACGCCTACCCACGCACGCACGCTACACACGCAGCGCACGGCACACACACACACGCACAGCACGCACACACACACACACACACACACACACACACACACACAAACACACACACACACCTAGAGCATAGTCGCGGTTCAGTCTATAGTCGACGGCGCCCGCGCCGTGGAAGACAGGTCGATCAAGCGACGATGACGTCGGGCACCTTCCATACAGTTGTTTCGGTTGTTGGACTCCGCTTGGAGTCCAAACGCTAGTATACAGTGCTTCGGCGTTGAAACGTACAGCGAGGAAACAGCCGTCCGTGAATTCAAATCTCTACGCGTGCTTTTAAATGTCTTCATAAAGTGAGGCCACATTATAGGAGTTTACACGTTATCTCTTTTATTCTCTCTTTCCTTATCTCGCTTATCTCTCTCTCTCTTTCTCTCTACTCTCTCTCTCTCTCTCTCTCATCTTCTCTTCTTTCGCGGCTCTCTTCTTCTCTGCTGCCGCGCGCGCTCTCTCTTTCTCTCTTTCTTACTCTCTCGCGCGCTCTCTCTCTCCTCTCTCTTTCTTCTCTCTCTGCGCTCTCTTCTCTCACTCTCTCTCTCTCTCTCTCTCTCTCTACTCTCTTTCTCACTCTCTTCTCTCTCTCTCTCTGCTCTCTCTCTCATCTCTCTCTCTATATATATATATATATATATATATATATATATATATATTTATATATATACTGCTTCTCTGCTTAGCACTCAGCAAGCAGAGATGAAGAAATGACGTGTGGAAACGGACCGGGCAAGAGGAGTGCGTAGCGACTCTCGCACGTATTTAGCTAAGCATGGAACCATGAATACATGTTCATGAAACCCGAGATGGCATAGACTAAGGCCAACGCGTGCCCTTGACAAAATTATTATTTTTATTTAGTATTATATATATATATATATATATATATATAATAAATAAAAATATAATTAAGAAATTTTAATTAAAAATAAATAATTATATATATTATATATAATACAGTAACACAATCACAAACCACATACGAAGTATATAAAAACTATACTGCTCTCTCTATACGGAGGTTTCTATTGGGGTAGCTCACAGCCCTGCCCAGAAAAGGTGAATCGGATAATGCTCTTGCTCGAACCTCCAGGAGACGTTGAGCTCTCCGTCTCTAGTGTTTCACAGGAAGGGAAATTCTCCGTCACCCTCAGCTTCTCCTGGCCGGCCTAGACAACACAGCAATCACACCTAACACATCACACACATCATAACACACACGCGCGCGCACACGCACACACGTTTTTCCTCATAACACTATACTCCTGGTAAGGGCCTACGCTCCCGCTTCTTTATAAGTTTTGATAGATAGGATGGTACTTTGATAATTGAGAGGATAGATAATGAGGAAATGCTTCATTAATGCAGCAAATTTTGGGGAAGCGGTAAAAATAGAAAATAAACAAAGACGCTGCACTGATTTAGGCCGGCATATATTAATTGATAACGGAATGGGCCTATTATACAGTCAAACATTTTTTCGGAATATAAACCTTTCACAAATTCTGGTGTAGTGTTTAATGGCCATCGGAGCACCGCCACGTCGGCACGATCACTCAATTTACCATGAATCAAAGAATCGAATCCTAAATATATATCGATATCTAAATTCAATCAACGAGCGAACGGATAGTATTTGGGGGCAGGGTCCACGCCGATGACGTAGTAACCATAACGTCATAAACGACGAGAGCGTTGACGCTGGCTTTCATACCAAGATGACGACGGTATATGACAGCTGGCTACCTACAGTGACGATGGTATGACGCTGGCTACCTACCAATGACGTGGTATGACGCCGGCTATCTTTTACCTCAATGACGATGGTAATGACGCTGGCTACCCCTACCAGTGACGATGGTATGACGCTGGCTACCTACCAATGACGATGGTATGCACGCGCGCTATCTACCAATGACGATGGTATGACGCCGGCTATCTACCAGGGGACGATGGTATGGACGCGGATGCTTTACCAGTTGACGTATTGGTATGACGCTGGCCTAACATTACAATGACGACGGTATGACGCTGGTACCTACCGAGTGACAACTGGTATGACGCTGCCTACCTAACCAGTGACGATCCGGTATGACGTGTGTTCTACTTACCTACTAATGACGATTTTGGTATGACGCTGGCCTACCTACGTGACGTGGTATCGAACGCTGGCTACCTACCAGTGACGAAATGGTATGACGCTGACGCCTACCTACAAAATGACGATGGTTATGGACGCTGAGCTACCTACCAATGACGGACGAGGTATGACGCTGGCTACATAACAAATGACGATGGTTGACGCTGGCCTTACATTACCAATGACGATGGTTTATGAATGCGGTTTTTGTCTACCCAGCTCGGCGCGCGATTGGTATATTATGACGTACTGGGCTACCTATCCAATGACGACGGAATTATGACCGCTGGCTACCTAACCAATGACAATGGTATTTGGACGGCTGGCCTTACTACCAATGACTACGGGTTATGACGCTGGCTACCTACCAATGGACGACGGTATGACGCTGCTACATACCAATGACGAATGGTATGACGCACGGTCTACCAGTTGACAGATGGTTATGACGCTGGCCTACCTACCAATGCGACGGTATCGACGCTGGTTACCTACCAATGACGACGGTATATGACGCTGGGCTACATACAATGACCAGATGGTACCGAATGCCGGTACCCTTTGAACGTGGGGGGGGAATGCAAAACGGTGTCCCAAAAAAAAGTCTCCTCCCGTGTAAAAATGTGAATGCCAAAAGCGCACACCGCTGGGTACACAGTACGATTGATATATGTTTTCAATCCAAGGTAGCGCAATGAAAAAAAATTGCTGTACCCCCCGTATAAGCGCAATTTTTCAACGCAAGAAACCTTTTAGCGTTCTACTCTTTTTGTCTTGCCCCAGCATTTTCTCGAATTAGCCACCTGACAATTTTTCAATTCTTCATTCTTCAAAATTGTCACCGTCTACGAACTTCTGCACTTTACTTCACACCACATCCACACTCTTTAACATTCATTTAAAATTTACCTTTCCTGCTATCACCCCTAGGCTAACTTTTACCGAGCTCCTGTGTTGATTTCTCCAAAATTGCTACGACCTAGCAATCCCATTACCTCTCTCACCAAGCCCCTCTAACCTACTTTGGAAATTTCATTAAAAACTACTACTTACCACTCTTCCTCGTACCGCCCCTCCCTTAACATTGCTCTCCTGTTTTTGAACAAAGAATTTACCTTCAAAATCGCTACCGACTAGGACGCGCTAACGTACCCACTCGACCCTTCTCACCTTCACAAACGCTTCCATCTATTCTACCGTGCACATCGCCTCTCCCTCCCCAAAACCTCAGCCCCTACTGCAGGCGCCCACGCCCTTACCCTTCATCACGAACATTGCAGAACATCTCTGCGCCGTGCCGTCCTTCTCCTTGATAGAACTGCGTTGCCAGGGTTAATGTGCCCGCGAGTTATGTCGCGCCGAACACCTTTCCCGGCCCAAAGGCGACGACTGCCCCCTCAGCCGTAGCTCGGCGAATCGCTCGCGTCGGTAGCGACGTAAAAACGTCGTTGCACACCAGCTTGCAACTGATTATCCGCGGAAGGCACACGGAAAATTGCCTCGCCGTATAAGCTCCGCAAGAGCGGCGCTCATCTTGCTGACGCAGTGTCCCGGACACGTATCGCGGCGAAGCGGGGGAATGGTGAATTTTTTCCGTTTCGTGATATTTGCATTATGCTCATCGATGAACGCAGAAATATATTTTAACAAACACGCACGCTAATATTTCATACCACACACACACACACACACGCGCACGCACGCACGCACGCACACACCTATCTCACACACCCGCCACAACCACCCATCCACACACCCACCCACACACACATACCACACACACACACACACAACACACACACACGCACACACACTTGCGCTGCCTATTTAAGGACGGTAACAGCTGAGAATGTTAGACTCGGAACTTCATTCCGGAATGCTGTGTTAGAATTATTAGCTACACACTGTTATTGATGCATAGTAGTTACAGCGTTATCCCTCGGCCATAGGCTTTTGCCAATCTTGTGAGGGGCGCATACCACGCCCATCGGAGAGGGTGAGGCGCTCCACGGTGGTTAACCAGATGAAAGGACAGGCGGCACGGACTGGGCCACAGGCAAAACAACACCACAAGTTCACGTGTAAGAGCAAAATGTGGATACGACGACGACGACGACGATGGCAGCAGCGATGATGTGACTATTCCACGCCATTGACGATGTTTACTTCCTACTTTTATTCACAGACGTTAGGTTGCGAAGCTACGGTTCGCAATGAAAGAAAAACTGGTGTCGATGTGCGATATATATGTGTGGTTGGACAGTCTAGGACGAACGTAATTCACGCATATCCGCTGGATGACATCCTATTCAGTCGAGAAACTGCCAGCGTCACGTCCGGAGTTCTCTGAAATTGTCTACCCATACGGGGTGACACATGTAGGAGTATAAATGGGAATGTATCATATGTCCTAAAGGATGTTGACATCACCAGCCGATGGTGGGCCTTGCCCATGGTGACATATCGATGTTTGTGATCAAATATTGAGTTTTTCAGAATCTGTCGTCGCCTCAAGTCAGAGCGATAGATCGATTTTCGATCACTTGTAATTATATGTGATTTTATTTAGTTGTTTGGGATTTGTATAAAATAGCTTTAAATACATTTTAGAGCTAGAATATCTCGTCTCGATTCAAATGTGCGCGTGTGCGTGTATATAAATAGGCGGTGCCTGACAGTTGTGAGTGCAGAAACCATCGGAAGTCGTGTCTTACATAGTTGATCATATCACGAGAAAGCCAAAATTAATCAGAGAAAACGAGAGCGAGAGAATGAAAACGGAAACACTGGCGATGTACGTGTATACTCGTGAATATCGTATCAAACTTTATTATATACGTGAAGCGAGACTATGGTCCCATGAGCCGAGTCTGTGGTCTCGTAGACCGAGACTGTGGTCCCGCGAACCGAGACTATGGTCCCGTTGGTTGCGTAGTGCGCTATAGCGAGAGACAACACCATGTAGCATCAAGCACCGAGCACGCGCTCCCAATAATAATAATAATAATACTAATGCCGCTATAAATGCGAACTATCACTTAACTATCGCCTATAACTTCAACTACTACAAGTTCGTACACGAAATGATACATATATGCGTGCGTGTACTGCCTCTATATATCGTTCAGTATATGAGTCAGCTATGATAGGACTCGTGTATTCCATATTCCGCCAAGCACATAACAGAAAGTTTACACGCAGACCTAACGAAAAGGTTGCAATATTGTTATATATATATATATAAGTAATTTATATATATATATATATATATGTTGCTGTCGTTGTTAGGTAATTTACATTAGAAACTCGTGGTAATATAGACCGATGTCCTTGATTACAGCTCTTTTGCGTTTACAGCTCCGTGTAATCGCTTCTGTTCTTGCTTCACTCGTCTCTCTACTTCTCTCTCTTCCCTTCTCTCTCTCTCTCTCTCTCCTCCCTTATCACTCTCCTTCTCTCGCTCTCTCTTCCCTTCTCGTTCTCCTTCTCTCTCTTATTATCTGTTTCGCACGCACACATGGGATCGCTCTAACACTCAACGTTTGAAAACCAACACAGGTTAAACAAGAGTACTGTACAGCGTAAACGCGCGTACACTCTCTATATATACACCCGCCGTTACGTGGCGCCACCATGCACTCACACGACCTGCTACCTGTCTACCATCACCACGCTATTCACGCATGCGCGAACTTATGCCGCTTCTCACTAGAGTCTCTCGATAAATGGACATCTCTGAATCCATCTTGTCCGTCCGCATTACACCTGATGCATTGTGCCTTACAAGTTATGCCTTGCTGCTTGACACCTGATGCCTTATGCATTGATGTTCTTTACACCGTACACCATATGTCGGACACTGTACACGTACCTTACAGCTTACACCTGACACCTTGTGCATTGACGTGTTACGACGCCTTGCGGCGCGCTCACGACACCTTATGGCGACCTCACGACACCTTATGGCGACCTCACGACACCTTATGGCGACCTCACGGCACTTTTACGGTGACCTCACGACACCTTTAATGTGACTTCACGACGCCTTGCAGTGAGCTCATGAAACCTTGCGTTGACCTCACGACACTTTACGGTGACCTCACGACACTATAACGGTGACCTCACGACACTATAACGGTGACCTCACGACACTATAACGGTGACCTCACGACACCTTACACTCGGGCGACTTGAACGGCTTGAATCGGTGTTTCGTGTTCTTGGCGCGGCCGGGGCCGCCGCCGCTCGGACCGTCCCCGTCCAGCGTGGAATCGAGCACCTCGATGCGATTGCCGCTGTCCGCGTGCTCCATCTTCTCCTGCCACATGAGGTCGATGTCACGCTGCTGCGGCGGCGGCGGCGGCGGCGGCGCTGCGACCTTTGACCTCGCCGCGACATCGTCGTCGTCCTCGTCGTCGTCGGGGTCGGCGATGTCGACGCTGCTACGCAGGCTGCCTGCCTCGAGTTTCGCGCGCCACATGCGCTCGAGCTCGGCGCTGCTCGCTCGCGCCCTCTGGCGGGCAACATACATACACACCACACGCGCGCACGCATGCACGCACGTACGCACACACGCTATATAACTACGCCCGAGGATCATACACTGCATCTCAAACGCAATACCAGCGCCGACCAACGGTAATGAATGAGTATAAAATTTCACAATGCGTTGTTGGGGATCAGATAAATGGAGTTTGTGAAGATAGGGCTCCATCTCTTTGTTTCAGGAAGACAATGTTTCAAGGACAACCAATCAAGGTTTTCAACATTCAATGTCCCAAGGATTCAAATTTTCCTCATAACACTATACTCCTGAGTAGGCCTACGTCCCGCCTTTTAATAAGGATAGATAGGAGGTACAGATAATGAGAGGATAGATAATGAAGAATGCTTATTAATTGCAGCAAATTTTGGGGGGTAAAAATAGAAATAAATAAAGACGCTGCCTGATTTATGGCGAGCATATAATTATCTGAAAAAGGATGGGCTATTATACAGTCAAACCTTTTTTCAGAATATAACCTTCACAATTCTGGTGTGTGTTTAATGCATCGGAGCACCGCACGTCGGCACGTCACTCAAATTTACCATGAATCAAAGAATCGAATCCTAAATCATATATCGATATCTAAATTCATCACGAAGCGAACGGAGTATTCGGGGGCAGGGTCCGACGCCGATGACGTAGTAACCATAACGTCATAACCACGGGAGCGTGACGCTGGCTTCATACCAATGACGACGGTATGACGCTGGCTACCTACCAGTGACGATGGTATGACGCTGGCTACCTACCAATGACGATGGTATGACGCCGGCTATCTACCAATGACGATGGTATGACGCTGGCTACCTACCAATGACGATGTACATGTAACCTGGCTAACCCTCACCACAGTGACGAAGGTATACGCTGCTACTCCCTAACCCAATGACGGATTGGTATGGACCCTGGCACCTCGCATACCAATAGAACGAACGGTATGTAAACTGCTGTTACACCTACCAATCATGACATGCATACGACGCTGCGCTACCTACCAATGACGACGTATGAACGCATCGTCTATCTACCCAATGACGCACGGTACTTAACCGCATCTACCTAATTGACGAATGGTAATGACCGCCGGCTATCTACTCAGTGAGACGAGGTATACGCTGGCTAACTGCTACGCAATGACTCGTTGTAGACGGATGAACGCTGGTACCATGACAATACATGGTATACCGCGGCTATCACTACCAATGACCGACGGATATGACCACCGGTCTACGCCCGTGACGCAATGGTAATGATCCCGGTCTACCAATGACGAATGGTATTACGCCTGCTACCTACCAATGACGACGGTATGAACGCCGGTTACCTACCAATGGACGACGGAAAACGAACGCGGTTACCTACCAATTGAAATCTATGGTAGACGCCGGCTATCTACACAATGACGATGGTAATACGCCTGCTACCGTACCAATGACGAATGTATGACGCTGGTCTACCCTACCAAATGACGATGTATGTGGGACGAGCTGGCCGGTCTAACCAGTGAGCGAATGTAATGGACGCTGCTACCTAGCCGAGGTTACAAATGTATGACGCCCAGTCTAGCCAGTAGACGAGGTATGACGCTGGCATACCCTTACCCAATTGACGACGGTATGACGCATTGGCTTACATCCAATGACGTGACCCGGTATGACCACGGCTATCTACCAAATCGACGAATGTATGACCGCGCTGGCATAACCTACCAAAATGACAGGAATATGACGCCTGGCTACATACCAAATGACGATGTATGACGCCGATTCTACCACAGCTGACGATGGAATACTCTGGCACCTACCAATTGACGGAGTGACGGTATGACGCCGTCCTAATCTACCAGTCGACGACAATTGGTCAGACGCTGTTACCTAACCTAAAAATGAATGGTATGACCGCTGGCATTACCACCAATGACGATGGATGAACGCGGTCACTCAGTGACGATCGGTAATGAAACGCTGGCTACCTAACCAGACGTGCGGTAATGACTGTCGGTCTACCAGAAAGACAATGGTATGACCGGCTACCTACCAATTAGCGCACGGTATGACGCTGCTAACATACCCAATGACGTACGGTATTACGCTCCAGCTATCTACCAATGACGATGGTAATGACGCTGGCGCTACGCTACCAATGACGAATGTATGTACGCTGAATACATACCAATGACGATGTATGACGCCGTCTACACAGTTGACCGATGGATGACGCTGGCTACCCCTACCAATGATCCTGACGTATGAACGCCGGCTATCTAACCATTGACGATGGTATGACGCTGGTTTATCCTACCAATTAGACGAATGGTATGACGCTGGTTACATACCAAATGACGATGTTACGAATGCCAACAGACGTAGCGATTTGTGGACGGGGTAAATGACGAAACGTGAATCCAAAGTCCAGCCGTGTATGCGAGTGTCAGTATATACCTTGATGTATCGATATCAAATATCGCTAAGTGCCGGAAGCCGTCAGCGTGATGTCTGGGCCCGTGTTAGGTCGTGCAGGTTTCCGTCAGCTTGAGCAGACGCGAGCTAATCACATCTTTGAAATTTTCCTAAAAATAAAATCTAACTTCGTGCCGAATAAAAATCACTTTCGTGTTCAATCTTTAATCTAATGAATGCCGCGGCCGATCGCAGCTCCTACCAGTGAGCCCGTGTGCTATCTGTCTTCACGTCCTTCAATTAACGCATTGGCTTTACGTAAGTACAAGAGCGATAGAGAAGAAGAGAGAGAGAAAGAGAGACAGGAAAGAACAGAGAGAGAGTGCGCAAGCGCAGAGAGAGATACAGAGAGAGAAGAGAAAGAGAGAAGAGGAAGAGAGAGAGAGGAAGAAGAAGAAAAGAGAGAGAGAGAAAGAGAGAGAGAAAGAGAGCGAGAAAAGAAAGAAAAAGAGTCGCGATCCCCAGCAGTTCAATATTGCTGCTAACAAAGATGATGAAAATTAGATGATAATTATAATAGATATATAAATAGAATAAAGTATAATAATAAGGCTCGTAAATCCAGCTTCTTGCTTATCGTAGGTCAGACAGGTTAGCCGCGTAGAAGCAAAGCAGTATTCCACTCTATCCTGCCGTTTTCCAATCACCGGACACTTCGTACAGGAAGGAGACGGCGAGCCTTTACCGACGAGAAACGTCGTCTAAGAAATGAAAATGCCAAACGAGAAATACAACTAAAACCGATTACACTACGTCCAGCCCGTCGCGCATATTGAATATTGAACATGCGCAATATTGAAAAACAGTCAGCAAGCCGACGGTGTTTCAGCGTTTTTGCCTAGTGAAAAAATGACGACATTTGCGAGTTTATTCTATTATCGATATGAACATCGATATACGAAGATACGTAAGATTAAGCCCCAGGGCGCTTCACCTGGACCTTGCCCATCGAAACGTAAAACTGTGCAAGAGATGTCTTCTTCGTCCGTCGTACTAGACGTCAACCTCGTCGACGTCTGATGGTCTGCCACGTGGCGCAGATGCCAACAACGCTTCCTGCGTCGATGGTATGATAACGCCACTATCGGCATGCTACCGCAGATCCCCATCATGGCTAATAGTAGTAGCTCTCCGCTGTAATCATATAATAAAACATATTACAATATAAGAGGCAAGCAGTAGCAGACAAACCAATAGGTTACCAGGTTCTTCGTGCGATAGCTGAAAACTAATGTGTTACCATGCGACGTAGTCTTTCAGTAAAAACGTTTCTAATTGATTTCGCCTACTTCCATTCTATTAATTGGTTCAGATTGATCTCTATCTCCTCAGTTGAACCACTTCTGTTGCTTTGTACTTGAGCGTGTAACGTCATTTAGTATCACATGTCAACAGAGCGCATATTGACATGAGATTGGTTAAAATGGGTTGGATAACGTGGAATAGAGGCCAACAACAACACACCATCCGTACCACAACAACACGACTCACACACCACGCACATACGACATGCATATAGCTGTGGAAGCTTGATAGACAGTCTAGTCAAGTCCTATGCCTAAATCGTCCTTGGATGTTTCAGCTGCTAGTTTGCAGATTGAAACAAGTAGCCTTCGTAACTTCACGAGTATTTATCCATATAATGTCTCCGTTGCTGTAAACGCGGTGTGGACAGGACACTGACATGAGAAGGCGTACCGTTGTGCTGTTTGGCGAGTCACCAGAATTCAACCGCTGATTCGTCAATCGCAAGATCGTCGGTTAGAGTCAGCAATACGTCTTATCGTTCAGTGTAGGGGCGCAGGGGTGTTGTCGACGTCTTGCGAGAATGAAGAGCGAGTGGTTACATTGATCATGGTGCGATCTACAACGATCACATATATAGTATATGAGACATACATACAATATATGCATAACATATCCTAACTACTATAATAGCCATATATCAACTATACATACATAACACGAACGCGCGAGCACCAACACACATACACTTTCTACATCGACACACGCGCAACAACCACAATATCACACACAGCGCGCTGCAAACTTCACACACACCACATACCAGTCACTCTACTCACCGTCCTTCACACTGCAGCGCGCACAGGTCTACGCACATCACACATATTATATTCATAATGAATTTTATTATACCCAAGCCACGTCTGCGCTGCAGCGCGCACGTACAATCACTACACACACTACCACATTCTCTACACATTCACATCAACCTGACATTCACTACACACACATCCCACACAGCAGTCAGACAATCATATTAATTTTTTTTTTTTATTTTTTTTTTTTTTTTTTTTTTTTTCTTATCTTATCTATCACTATCACTATCTTACTCTATATATATATATTTATATATTTTATTATACTATTATATTCTATATTCAATTTTTCTATTTTCTTATTTCTATATTCTATTCTATTTATATTTCTCTCTTTCTGTCTCTTTTTTTTTTTTTTTTTTTTTTTTTTTTTTTCCTATTCCCTATAAGTGCGGCGCTTTTATTC